CCCCAAAACCCCAAAACCCCAAAACCCCTTTCTCTAAAAGCAAAACTGAATTTAATAATTTAGTAAATTAATAATTATGAACTTATCCAACAATTACTCTTGGAATGACTCTCAATGAGTTGTCTCTGATCAATGCAGAGAGTCTCCATTAAAGAATAGTGTCTATGAATGGCACAATAACTAAAACATTCTTTTGGTTGACAAAGGTCACCTCAAAATGCAAGAGAATTATATTACAAAGATAAATTTGATTGTTTTAGTACGATCTTTCCTAAAGCCAATGAAAATGATGAAATTGATATTATACTTCCAACACCAAGACTTGTTTCACAAATTGAGAAAATGAAACTAATAAATAAAGCCAAGCGCTTGAAAGAATTTAAAGTCTTGAAGAACTGTTCATCTTGCATCTATCCAAACAACAAAGACAAAGCTATATCTAAATCTTGGGTGAAAAAGTGCACAGTATGTCAAAAACTCTCATCCCCAGAATCCTGGACAGCATCAAAGGAAGATGTTAACTCTTCTACTAAGCCAGCTGAGGTTTCTTCTCTGCCGCCAGTAATCTAACTTCACTATAAAATTATTTATAAACTCATTTTTTGGTAGATAATTGCTTATTAAGAAAGCTAGAGAAGAAAACATAGGAAACTTCTCAGTGGTTAAATGATGGAATAGGTTATGCTAAGGTCTTAATGGTTCGATTGAAGAGTTCAGTAGATGAGAGAGGCTTTTAGAATAATATGCAGCTTTTTAAAATAAGTATGCATAGTTTTATAAGGTAAACCATTATTTCTCGTTGTCTTTTGAATTCTCAACAAGTTCAGATATCGGTTTCAAAGTATGAGAAAGAGTTTGAGAAGTCCCTTGTCCTTTAATTTGTCAGATTTCTTTTACTATTTAGTCAGAAAAACTCATTGCTTCAAGTACATATTACAATAACGAAGTCTCCTGATTATTAAGCAAAAAAACATAAATGGTAAATTATGGAATGAACTCGATAAGGCTATTGATTCAGAAGCCTAGATATGCTATCTTACGTATCACAGGCATTTATAGAATCGTCGACAGATTTTAATATCAATGATTCAAAATTTTCTTAAAGTACCTTGTATAAATCAAAACTAGGGTTAAAAGTTGCTCGAAAGTTTCTGAAGTTAAAATTTAGTTTCAAAAAGTCTCCTAGTTGTCTCTAAAGTGGAATTCATCAAAGACCACTACTGATTCTTGAAGTATACCTTAAGTTTGGATGATTATTCTATAAATTTGTTGCAGTTTGACATACTTATATATTTTCTACTTCCAAATTTTTGGAATTTAATTTTCATCTATAATTTGAAGAAGAATTATTTTAAAAACCCCAAAAGAGGATTTTAAAAATTGCGAAATTAATAGAAACCTTAAATTATTGAATTATTACTCTTATAAAACTAACTACTTTCCTAACTTTAATAACTCTATTTACTTGAACCTGAAAGGAATCAACCTATTAAAAGAAAGTTCTCTGAAAACTCTACTACACAGCTAACGCCCAAAACTCTTCTCAAACAACTATAATCTTTCCTTGTTCTCGATTGCCACTTCTAGCTTCCTTAACTCCGACTGTTGGTCTCTTCTGAGGGCTACCCAAACTCCTTCTGAGTTCCTTTTATTATATATTGATTCATGATTCAGTGCCTGTTGCAATACCTGGGGTTTTGGGGTTTTGGGGTTTTGGGG